ACACACACACACAATCTCAATGCCAGAATTATTGGAAATCAAAACTTTCTAGTTAAGTGATGCTAAAAGACCCCCCTGTCAAGGATGACTTACAGGATTTAAAGGATGTATTCCAATCTCTCTTAAGCTGCCTATGAGATCCTGGCTAAATCATCTGGGGGGAAAAAAGGCCCCTCTTCGCCTCTGTTTCCCCATTAGTAAATGGGCCTAATAATTCTAACCTTGATAAAGACTTTTGCACAGCTTCATTCATGAATAGTCTGTGTGACACTGTCCATTCTTGCTTTCAGAATGAAATTATAATATATATACAACAACTTTTTGAACTGTAAGGTGGTATCTTGCACACCAGCTGCCTGAGAAAGGAGGTTAACTAATATAAAGTCTTCATCCTAATTCTGTGAGAAGCTGCTATAGCTCAGGGTCTGAAGTTATTATAGTTTCTGTGCCTATTCATCTGCTACACCAGACCCTAATTCATTTAACAAATTGATAATTCTAAAATGAATTATATGATATCTCATACATGCAGAGGTTTGAGGGCAGTGTGAAGAGTTTGGTATTGGGGATTTACCAGAATTGCAGTAGATATTAAAATTTTCTGGGTTCTTGGTAGAGGTACACTTTTCATAAATACTTTTTGTTCTTTTTTCCTTTGTATCATGTTGTATCTCCTGAATATTTCTTTCAGAAGAGAAGAAAATCATATGGCTTGAGAGCAAATGTCACATCCAGAGCCCCTCTGCTGATTGTCCTGGAGACCCTCTTCAGATTGCCTCGTTATGTTATGGAATTCTGAAGTCCATGTGATCATTCACTTTGTACTACTTGGTTTTGAAGACGACCTTGGTCATTCTTGCTGGCTCGGAGAGCTGTTTCTATGGGCTACCATTAATCAGTGGTGAAGCTTCTGAGTGTTGTTTTTCACAAATATACGAAACCTGATGGACTCTAGAGCCGCTATTCGAAGAAGCAGATGATTTTTGCTAACCATGGCACAGGCTGAATGGGTATCACAGCCCTCTAAGTGTGTAGGCCTGTGTTAGTAGTCACTCTGGAAATTGTTGATCTACGTTAATGTTGAGTGTATTGTGTTTTAAGGTGTTGAGGAAAATGCAGAGACGGCATAGCAGCAACACTGATAACCTTCCTCCTGAAAGGTAAGTCTTCTCCCTTCCTCTGTTTCCTTATCAATCCTCTTCAAAGGGAAATATTTGAATTAAAGTTTTGGTGCACTTCATATGGTTAGAAGATAAAATCTGGAGGAGTAAGAAAGGAATATTTCCCATTGTCTATAGCAAGACAAAGCTTGCTGGGTGGATTAGGATATGCTCATTTTTGTATGAAATATCAGCTGCTTGTCTCTGCCAGATGCAAAATGTGACCCACTGGGCCAATCTGCCCTTGTTCCCATGGTTTCTTTTTTAAAGAGAAACAGCCAGCTGAATTAAGGCTAAACATTAAGTTGTGTGCATATTTGGAGTTAAACCTTTTTTCCAAATTCAGCCTAACCCAGACTCCTGAAAACTGAACTTTGTGGAACTATCACAGTTCTTCTCGCCAATTTTGCTCTTGTGCTAACCCTAAATACAAGAGGAGAATCCATTTTTGTGATGGTCCTGACCTCTATAGGTCTACACATGAGCCCTGTTCAGGAGTGGCGGTTCTTTACTGGTCTGGCCTTGAGGAGTTCAGTGGTGTTAAGGAGCTCTCCTAGTCTGAAGTTACCAGATAGAATCATAGAAAATTAGGGTTGGAAGGGACCTCAGGAGGTCATCTAGACCAGCCCCAACAATATCATCCCCACCAAGACTTTGTCTACCCAGGTCTTAAAAATCTCCAACACAAGTGTACAGTACCACAACAGCAAATGAAAGGGACATATCTTACAAAGTGATTTGGGAATCACAGTGAATGAGCTCGTTAGAATTTTGCACCTCGTTGAGGTGCTGAACTCAGTACCAGGACTAGAGAAGTAATTTTCTTGTGCTGAAAAGCAGCCTCTTTGGGCAGGTAGATGGACTTAAAGTGTATGTGTGTGTAAAGCGGACTTCTGTTACACTTAGCGGACTGAAATTACTGAGGACTCAGTAGTGAAAGTGATACTTAACTATAAGCAGTAACTACTGACATGCCCCTTGCTGGAGTTATAAGTTATGGTTTTCCACTAGGATAGAAAAAGGGAGTCTCTTCCTTGGGAATGTAGAGTAAGAAGAGTTCAGCACTATTTCTGAGTGCCTGGTAATCTACTACTCTGCTGCCTACCAGCAACTATTTTTTCCTTGAAGCATGCTGGCAAGGTGTTTTTTCTGTCTCAGCCAGTTTTCTGTCCACCTTACAGTCCATTCATCTGACCTGCACTACTTTAACTTGCATGTAAAAATGTGGGAGACCATATCAAAAGCCTTGCTAAAGTCAAGGTATATCATGTCCACTGCTCTTTCTGAATCTACAGAGCTAGTCATCTTGTCATGGAAGGCAATCAGGTTGGTCAGGCATGAGTTGCCTTCAGTGAATCCATGCTGACTGTTCCTGATCATCATCATCTTCTCCAGGTGCTTAAACATAAGGACCTGCTCCATGATTTTTCCAGGGACTGAGGTGAGGCTGACCAGTCTGTAGTTCCCTGGCTCCTCCTCCTTCCATCCCTTAAAGATGGGCACTATATTTGCCCTTTTCTAATCATCCAGGACCTTTCCCAATTGCCATGAGTTTTCAGAGATAATGGCCAGAGGCTCTGCAATTAAATTGGCCAATATGATCATATTATCCCAAATTTTATGAAAGTTTTGTAGGGTTCTTGGTGTATTTGTAAAACTAGGGTTTATCCTTGTGCCTGTGGACAGCTAAGAATTAGAACCCTTCTTCTAGGCATAAAAGTAACAGTTCAGTGAAAGCAAATATGTAATTTTTTGGCATTTTTAATATTAAGCAATGCCGGTTGCTTGCATGTGGCTAGTGGAAGAAGTCCAAACATAAACTTAATCAGAAACCGAAATAAAATGTATTTTTTTCACATTTCTATCCAAGACCAGGTTTTGCAGGAGCACATTAAGTCTTGTGTGCTAATCAAATTCTAATGTATGTCACACTGATTAACAGAGGAAAAAAAGGCTGTGCAATTGTTTTAAGTTACTTTCATGCTCTAAAATAGCCTTGCTTCACACTTGCAGTGGTGTTGTCAAACCAAGTGCCTGTGCATTATGGGCTGTGCACTGAAAGGGGAGATATTGGAGTTGAGCAGTACAGTGGAAGTTCAATGGACTCTGCACATTGGAACCTTTGGTTCCTTCTAAAGCACTGGGATCTGTGTGGATGAAAGGTGCTGTGCAAAATCAGCTCTGGATCTGTATCAGATACAAAAAAAATGAATAATACCTTATAAATTTCACTTCAATGATCTAATTTTAATAAGATAAAAGTATTGCTGGGAACACAGGCAAGGATTATTTTAAATTATTAAATTATTTTAAAGACATAGGGTGAAATATTGACCCAATTGAAGATCCAGGCCAGGCACCTGGATTTCAGGGAGATCAAGATTTTATCCATAATATTTACCTGACAATAATGCTTTTTAAATATGCGCTGAAAGAAGCCATATACTCTGGTACCATTTTTCCAGGCAACATCAATGTGTTATTTGTATAGGTCCATATTCCAGTGTTAAGTTGTACATACTCATCATGTTCCTGGGGTTGCATACAGAACCACTATTGGTATTTTGTATCTAACCCTGATAAATGGCAACAAATGTTTCATCCAGTACCTGGCTAGTTAATTCTGAACCATGGAAAAATGATTCTTTGCACATGCCTGCAAAGAGACTCTGGGAGTCGGGGATGGCTATAAAAAGCCTTGTTGAGAGCTCTCTTAGTGGGGAGAGGTGCCTGGTGAGAATTGGAGCTAAATCCAGAGGGATATGAAATGCAAAATTCTGTGCTAGGTTAGATGGCCAGGGAAGATGATGAGCTTGTGGAGAGACAGGCTAAGGGAGATGCAAGCAGTATGTGTGTGTGTGTGTGTGTGTGTCTGTGTAGTCTCAACGTGTGATATCTATTTCTGAAATTGAAGATCTACAGGGATTAAAATCAGGAGAGACCATAGCCCTGCAATGAATGTCTTTGTGGGTTAAGATTATTGCTGGGCTTTATTTGTTACTCTCTTTGCTGCTTAGACAATTGTTTGCTTTATGTTGGACATTTTCTTGGCTTGTGACTTGATTTAAGTGTCTCCTTTTCGGTCCCCATGAGGCCAAGACCTTCCGTGCATTCACATAAGTGCCATGCCACTGAGTTTAGGCAAACAAAGCATTCTTTTTCTTAGCATTTGGCATTGGGGTGAGACAGTCTGAATTCCACCCCTCATTTTGGAAACTCTGTAGGCTGTGGGCTATCTCACCAGTTCAGGACCCAACCAGTGCCCAACCCAAGTCCATTTCAGACACTGATCTTGGAGCACAATTTACTGGTTGAATAGAAAATTGCTTTGTTTGGGTGGCACCAGCAATTCACCTAACTATTTTTGTCTTGAGTCATATGACAGGCTGTTAGCTTTTAACTCTTTTCTCGCTGTTTTACTCCGTCTCTCTCCTGAGTGGACATCTGTTGGCCGTATCTGAATAAAGTGGGAAGAGCCTGAGTATTGGGGAATGTAGGTTAATTCTTCCAGTTGGTCTGATTAACTCATTTAGACATAATCCCAGATTCTTGGTGATAATTTCTTAAATCACTGGAAACAGTCATTTATTTTACACCCATTACATATTTAACATCAAAACCATTTTAGAAAAGTTGGGAGAGTACTGAATTTAGGTTTAACTGGCTTATTTCTTGTGAGATGCTCAGGATGTTTTTGGCCCACATATGATGGAAATGATGTTGTTTGACCAGTGCCTTGTAAACTCTGTAGTCTTGCCAAAAGGAATAGTGTCTAGACCTGGCAGCTTAGAACATTAGGAGGATGCTTTTCCCACTTCACATCCTGTACTTTGATCTCTGCCCCATCTTGTCCATTGGGGGTTCTGTCTCCCCACAGCAGAAACCGCAGTCAGACCGTCAGTTCTGAAACCAGCGTGGATGAAGGTGGGGTTTTTCAAGGACTGAAGGCTGAAGCTTCTTCACCACAGAAGCTCTTCTCAGGGCTGGCAGGGATCCCCTCTGGCACCATCACAGCTACCCCGTTCCAGTCAGGTTTGGTTCTAGGTTCCTCAGCAGGAGGCGGAGAGGTCTTCATTCAGATGCCAGCCTCAAGGGAGGAAGGGGCCACTCGGACAGAGGGAGCTCCATTCCACCACCGGCAACAGCCCCATCACTACCACCATGGCCATCATCGAGGATCCTCCCTGCTGCACATGGCTGGTGGGGACCGCCATGGACATGCAGAAGAAGGCACTGAGGACCAGGCTGGGACTCCAGCCCCAGCCCTCTCAGAGTTGAAGGCTGTGATTGGCTGGCTCCAGAAAGGGCTTCCTTTCATCCTGATCCTTTTGGCTAAAGTTTGTTTCCAGCATAAGCTCGGTAAGCACCCCACTTCCTATTTTCGTTTGATTGTAAGGTTCATAACAGGTGGTCAGGCAGTTCAGACTTGCAGGATGTCTGTTACAGTCCCTAGAAACAGTAAATTTCATGCACAAAATGCAGGCTCTGAAATTGGAGGCAAGAATTTACTTCTTGTTGTACATCCTATCTTTATCCCCTAAATTATTATTTGCTACTGTTAGAGCTGAATTAGGGCCATGCTTGTCCAACTATGTGGGAGACACTGATTCTGTGCCTGGTCCTGGCCACTTCCCATATCCATCAGAGGCTGATGGTGCTGTGAAGAATCCTTGAACTTCTTTAGGAGAGGTGAGAAAATGGGAATGTGTTGTGTCACTCACAGAGTCCCTTACTGGTCAGCTAATGGGTGGTAATGAAAGTCTGAGAAAGGACTTGAGGCTTGTGTGTGGCCAGCAGGGTTGTAGTTGTGAAATGAGGGCTTGAAGGAATCATCTGTTTAAATTCTACTGCTGAGATTTTCAAAACTGTCTAATACAGGCAGTTCCCTTTTATTTTAATAGTCATTGGGCATTCTGGTGGCCTTGAAATTTCAGTCTGCAAATCTTTAAATATAAAAATGCAAGTGGGCTTTATCTGGTGAATTTCACTTTTTAAGGAAGTGACAATGCTAACCTCTCTAGTCAGAGGAAGCATAGCATGGAAATTGAAGCCCTTCAGGCCTCTACCGATATTCCTGGTAATATATATTACACACTGTGTGTGTCAACATCTTACTTTTGCTCCCTTGGTCTCCCTACATAGCTTTGCCAGTGCACCTCGGTTTCAATTTGTAGAACCTGTTACTATTCCAGACCTGCAGCACTTTCACCCTTCTGGATCTCTTGTGAATAGGGCCTGCCATTCGTGCAGAATGTGTATCAAACTGTTTAGTAGTTAGTGATCCTGGGCCAACATCCACCAGACATGACAGACAGCTTCATGTTCATTTGGCTTGAATGTGAATCTTATATGAACCTTGGTCTTGAGCTTAGTTGCCAGTAATCCTGCAGTAGCACCTACCATAGCCAGAAATCACAAGTCTGTTTGTCTAAAAAAACCAAACCCTAAAATGTTGGGTGCAACATAATTTTGCAGTCTAGATCCCACCTGCCCAGGCCTATGGCATTTTGACAGGTGTCTTTCCTTGCAGGGATTGCTGTGTGCATTGGTATGGGCAGCACATTTGCATATGCCAACTCAACACTCCGAGAACAGGTTGCTTTGAAAGTGAGTACGGTGCCTTGTTCCATTGTGCTTCTGAAATGCATTGTTTTGAATATGCATAACTACACTGCTGTCAGACCTTTGCCACTGTATTATATAACTCATACAATTAATGTGTATAAATTTCTTAATGTATATGAATAATCTAACTGCCCATGGACCTTGTGTGTGCATATAGCCACACCCGCACCCTATCCATGGTTTTCAAGAGACACAATACAATGGTCAGAACATGAGGATGAAAATAAAGAACTGATTTTTATTCCAGGGCTTGCCACTGACTGGCTTTGTCCCATACATGAAAACAGAAATGACAATATACATGTCAACAGGATGCTGTTAGACTTGATTCATTATTGTTTTCAGAGTATTTAGACATTTTCAAATGAAAGATGCTATAGAAATATTATTTTTAATATATTTAAATGCTCTCTTGCTATTCCTGTTATTTGTAAACAAATCAGTAGGCTTCTTTGGGTCTCATGGTTCCTAGAGGAACTGATACCCTTACAATGCAGGATTGATGATACAGTAACACAGGGGTAGGTAACAGGGCTGTGCAAAGTTTCGGTCACCAATTCAATTCAGAGGAGATTCGGTGGCTGAATCTCCAAATCCAAATTTAATCGGGAGACCAATAAAAAGGTCTGAATCGATTTGAAGCCTCCGAATCAATTTGGAAAAGATTTGGAGAGCTTTCAGATTTGGAAAGATTTCAGAGTTTCGGGCAGCTCCCACTTGCTGCAGGGAGCTGGACCTGGACTCCATGCCAGTAAGTGGGGTGGGGGTGGGGGGCTGGAGGAGGAGGGAGGGGACCATGGGGGGACCCC